ACCACAGCTCCAGTAAGACTGGCGTTCTGTTAGTGAGCTGAAGCAATCCCAGAATTCTAGAGGTGGACCACAGCTCCAGTAAGACTGGCGTTCTGTTAGTGAGCTGAAGCAATCCCAGAATTCTAGAGGTGGGCCAGAGAGTGTTGCCATTTAGGTCAATTTAGTTTTTGGACATTTTAGCGATCTTTGTCTATTTCTGATTGCTGTGGGAGGCAAGCAATTCCATTGCTTGAGAACTCTAATGATTGCCATGCTATTTCTAAGACTAACTGGAACTCTGAGTAACTGCTCTTTAAATAATGAAAGGCTAAAATTACTCTTTTCCACATATTTTAATTAGTGTGGGTGTACTTGAAGATCGGGATAAAATGAGCCTTCTATCCTTCTGTTCCCGTTTAGCCCCCAGTCCCTGCTCTGTGTAATCTGAATCTGAATTAGTGGAAACATTCTTTGTTTTTAGGTAGTGTTTTGAAGTTACATAATAAAATGTTATATTACAACATTTTAATTTTTTAAACGATCTAACAGTTAAATAAAGATTTTTTTTTTCCCCTGTGTGTGTGCTCTCGAGGACAACTCGATGCTGTCATCCTCAGGAACAGTTGCTACCTTCTTTGAGACAGGGTCTCTCATTGGCCTGGAGCAATACACACTCGTTCTCTTACTGTGAGTTAGAAGTTGGGGTAGAGATGCCCAGGGCCTTAGAAAGTCGAGGCAGCATTATGCCTGGGCTCCTCCCCTCTTAATCATTAGGTCTTGGGAAATAATTCAGTTCATTGGCTGAGTTTAGTTCTGTAGCAGGCTTTCTTTAGGGCCACCAACCAGTTCCCAAATCGTGACACAGAGTCTTTTTTATTAATTATGAACTCTCGACCTTGTCTTATGCCTGTCCCACTAGCTGGACACTTATAACTTAAGTGGTTTCTCGTCATCTATGTTTTACCTCAGGGCTTTTTTACCCTTCTTTAATTCTGTGTGTCTACTCTGCGGTGGTATATTATTTGTATTTTGATAAATAAATCTTGCCTGAAGGCCAGAGGCAAAACTAAAGCCACTCTGGCAACAGTGATACACACCTCTAATCCCAGGATTAGGGAGATAGAGGCTGCTGGACCCCTGAGTTCAAGGCCACTCTGAGCTACATGAAATGAAGGCAGAAACAAATCCAGGCAGTGGTGGCTCACACCTTTAATCCCAGTCCTAGGAGTCACACACCTTTATTCCTAGCACTACAGGGAATATAAAATGGGAGGAGAGAGAGGCTCTGGCTGCTTAGTCTGCCGTTGCCCAGCCTTGGTAGAGGTCAGACTTCTCCAGTGGCTTGGCTGCTTTTCTTTTCTGTTTTTTGTTTTTGGGTTGAACCCCAATCTCTCTCTCTGGGTTTTTATTATTCATGCTACACTACTTCATGTCTGTCTGGCAGATGCCCAGGTGGCTGGCCCTGGATGTCTCCCTCTCTTTTGTCCTCTTCTCTCCCTCCTCTCCCCTCTCAAGCCTAGACTCCTCCTCCTACTTAATCTCTCTGCCTGCCAGCCCCACCTAGCCCTCTACTGCCTAGCTATTGGCCGTTCAGCTTTTTATTAGACCAATCAGGTACCTTAGGCAGGCAAAGCAACACATCTTTACATTATTAGACAAATACAACACATCTTTGCATAGTTAAACTAATATTCCACAACAAATTCTGTGAGGATGTTGGGGTAGGGGGTCTTCCACAGGCTGCTCCCCTTCATCTGCATAGCCAGCAAGCATGAGGGAGGAGTCAGGTTTCTATGCTTCTCTCTGGCTGCCTCTTCTGCTTTTAAAGAACTCGCTGCTTACACTGAGCTCACTTGAACAGCCCATTGTGATTTCTCTATAGTCAGCTGACTAGTTACCGGAATCACTCCTGCATGTCGTGGTATAAGTTAGCCAGTTACCAGTTTGATTGATAGAACTTTAGGTGTACTTTTTTTTTTTGACATTTTTGTGTCTCACCATCTAGCTAGGGTTTTTCCTTTGGTCACAAGAGCCATAATTCATCATTTAAAGTGGCTTATAAGCATCTTAAGGATTAATTTTCTTTTGCAAGATAAAATTTAAAACCCTGGTAACATTAGATATTACCTGTTAATCATTTTTTGAGTTTAGGCAACAATAAATATTTATCATAATTCTTTCTCTTGTTTTTTTTTTCTTTTTCTCAAAGAAACAAAGTCTTACTGTGTAGCAAGGCTGTCTCAAAATTCTAGAGCCTCCCATGGTGGCCGGTGTGTGTGACTATACCTAACCTGGTGTTTCAAACTCAGTCTCTGCCTCACAAAACTTCTCCAGTCTTTGATTTTTGATAATATAATAGACTTGTATCAGCCAAATGCCTGTTTATAGTTTAAAACACACACACACACACACACACACGCACGCACACACACACACGCAGACACACGCACACACACTAGCCATAGTAGTGATTGTTTAAACAGGAATGCTTTTCATAAATTCTGATTACAGCCCTGGAGAATTTTTGATAAACTATAATAGATTCCTCCAGAATTCTGTTTTCCGTGAGAATTAAGGTCTCCTGACCTCACTGTCACTTAGCGGACTTGCACCTTCCTGGTTATAGTGCATATATAAATGCCCTCTTCACTTATGGAACCCAGTGGCTCTTTAGGCTTGATTTTGTTTATTAATTTGCCGTTTCTGAAGTTTGATTACTATTGCTACATAAATTCTATTTTTTTCTTTAAGAAAATAATGGTGTGTGTGTGTGTGTGTGTGTGTGTGTGTGTGTGTGTGTGTGTCTCAGGGGTTCTAGGCAAGCATTCTACCTACTGAGTAGGAAACTAGCTGCACATTCAGATAAAAATGAGAAAGCAGGGATTCCCTTGAACTTGTCCTGTTTTGAGAGAGACATTTGATTCTTTCCTTCTGCTGGGAAGGTTAACTATAAATTGCAACAAAAGTCATAAAAACATAATTTTGGCAGACCCTGAAATGGACAGAGTGACAGACTGAGGCAGACGGCTTGGCTCCTCCCCTTCCTGTGGCTGATGCTTGGCTGGAGGCCTCTGTGATGATTCTCTGGGAACCGGAAGCAAGACTTGAGTTTTTTGTTTGTTTTTGGTCTTTTTGCTTTGTAGAATGACAAACTTTAGTAAAAAGAAGTTTTCTCTATTTTATACTTAAAAAACAGAACTCGTGGTCTTCCAGGGTTTATTTTCAAGTTATATACTTGAAATTAAGAATATATTTTTCTCAAGGAAGTAATGTCTCTAAAGTATTTTGACTTTTCAGTGAACCTAAAGTTCAGAGAAGTTAGATTGAAATAAGCACAGGACTCGAATTTTGTATTTAGACCTTTGTTGAACCTGTGAGGTGCATGTGTGTTCCTGGGGCTTGGGAGGCTAAAGAAGGAAGCATTAGGAGTTCAAGGCCAGTCTGGACTACTGTGAGTTTAAAAAAACAAACAAAATGGATTTTTGCTGAATTCAGATTTTTTAAAAAGGATGATATTATGTGTATACCAGTTGTTATAAGGCCTTGAGATGTGGTCTGGAAAAGGCCTCTGTAATCAAACACATTAATATTTCTGCAGTTGGTCTGATGAATATTCACACACTGTGGCAGAAGTACAGACTATAAATAGCCTGCTGTCAGCTCAGGTCAACTTTTGTCACCAAATGAATCCAGGCCTGGGGAGTTCAGCTCAGGTCAGGTTTCCCTGCCAAATAAGTTAGAAGAAATGTTCAGTTTCAGAGCGTTAGGATTTCAAGTAAGTACATCTCTATGAAACTTAGTTTTTATTTTTTAATATAAAAAATCCCACAAGTA